ATTTTTATTTTGACTGTTTTTTGTCCTTTTTGTTATTAATTTTTTGTTTTATTGTTCGTTGTTGTATGAATTATTTTGTATACTTTGTAAACAGCAGTGGTCGTTTTCCAAGTGCTCTACGACTACTAAGACTAATCAATTCAACTGTGTTTCTAATCTTTTGTTGCATTGGCCGGAGCACGGCGTGAGTTTTTTAGCAAATAACTGTTTTCTCGTGAAAAGAAAAAAAAATCTGAAAAGGTGAATTTGTGCACGAGCACGGTGTATAGAATACCAGTGGTGTCCTGAGATGTAAATAATCCGACGTAAAAATCTTTGTAGATTTTTGTTTTTTTGACAGACTTGAGACACGGGCATTGTATGGACTTCACAACAAATTGCACTTTGGCAGAAAGTGAACAATTCTTCCAGAAAGATGCTTCAAGGTGTTGTCACACCGATAAACATCGAACAAAGAGAATTTCCCATTTTATAACGACCACATACCCCAGGCTTTAGTCTGCTAGCTTAATGCTAATATTAAAACATCATGGTAAAACACCATAGAAGGGCTAACGAGTAACATGTAGCACCTATGTGGCAGAGTTAGAACCCGTTAATCAACAGATACATGGAGACAGAAGAAAAAAAAATTCCAAAGGCACATTTTCTTCATCTTCTGCAGAGAAAAACTAATAATAGTCCTCAAGAGTTGTGATGTTTCCTCTGTCTCTGAATGTATTGTCTGTATGATACTGCCCCCAAGCGGCCAAGGCACGCCGGAGCGGCACAATGTCGATCTGATCGAAGTAAAAAGTGTGACAAAAACCATTTACTTAGGTCATTGTTTGTTTTTTTGAACAACATTATAGCCTTATTTTGTTTTGACAGGAGTTGAAACTTCTACTACTTTTAACACAGTCCTTTTTAAGCATTTGCGTCTGTGTGTACCTGATAGGCAGCAGGATGTGTCCTACATGGCTGTTGGTGACCGCGGTGCTTGTGGGTGTGGCCGGAGGAGCTGCCAGTCAGTGTTGGGAACATGCGGCTTGTCAGGAACTGGATTCAAAAAGCATGATGGTAAAAACACGAATGTCGCTTGGCCGTAGATGATCCTGCAACCTCACTTATTGGTGTTTACGTCACCTCACATCAGGAGTGTCTGCAGCTCTGTCACGACCTCGGTGACCTGTACCCCAACTCGGCGCCGCTCCGGCCTTCCCCCGCGCCTGACTCCGACTCCTCCCCACCCGCCAAGCGCTCTTACTCCATGGAGCATTTCCGCTGGGGGAAACCCGTCGGCCGAAAACGCCGTCCCATTAAAGTCTACATGTCCAACGGCGTGGAAGAAGAGTCGAGTGAGGTTTTCCCCGGGGAGATAAGGCGCGATTTAACCAATGAGCTCCCGGTGGGCGCAGAGAAAGAGCTGATGGAGGAGGACGGTGTCCGGAAGAAAGACGGCTCCTACAAGATGAAGCACTTTCGCTGGAGCAGCCCGCCCGCCAGCAAACGCTACGGCGGCTTCATGAAGAGCTGGGACGAGACCGAGCAGAGACCGCTGGTCACGCTGCTCAAGAACGTCATCAACAAAGATGGACAGATGCACGAGTAGCGACAGGTTTTAACGCGAGCGCTCGGCCAAGAGTTGAGAGGCTGAGCGCCGAGTGTGTTTTGACTGTCAATATTGATGACATGGAAACATAAAAGTTCTTGCAAACAAAAGCTTTACGGCCTGCTCCTTTGAGTCTCACGCAACTGC